TGTAGAGGTGTCAGTTGATTTGTGCTGTTTGTCTGCCCAGTTCCTTGGTTTTCCTTTTCTTTTTGTCCATTGAAGTTTCCCTCTTGGCTGTCAACATGCTTGTGAACTAGTTGAGAGTTCTGAGGGGCAATGGAGATGCCTCTCTGGTGCTTTGCTGACTATTTCATAAGCCCCGAGACCTGAGTACCTGGGAGGCAGACTGTGGCTCACTAAGCGCTGTGCTCCTGGTGCCTGCTCATTGCACAAGAGGGCTTGAGTAAATGTCTGAACTGATTAAGAACCTTGGGGATTTACTGCTATTGTATTTTCTTTTAATAGCATTTGCTCCTTGCTTCTTTTAGATGACTGTTTTGTCTCTAATCTCATTATTTCTCTTTCCTTTGACTCCTGAAGAAATGTGATGTTATTGATTATGTGAATTTCCATCTAGGAAAATGGAAATTTAGACTTGGCAGAGCTAGCCGAGTCTAGCGATGACCAGATCGACACCAAATATCTTGAGGCCCAGAGGCCACAAGTGGCTTGTTACCTTTGAGTTTCATCCATGTTCTTACTGAGAAGTTGTATCCATCGCATTTTACTCTTTGTTTCATGGAGTCCAACTACTGGATTTTGGTCCACCCCAGTCTGCCTTGTGGTTCCATTTGTCAGAGGGTTGGCTCCTTGATGGTTGTGAGGTCAGCACGCTGAACAGCAGAGTGCACCCAGTGGGTGGTAACAAGATCACATTGTTTTAAAGAAGTGTTCTTACCGTGAACAAGGCTAGTAAAACAAAAGGTGCTTTACTTTTAGTACTGGGGAAGGAGAGAGATGCTGGTGAAATAATAATGCTTTCAGAAGACAGCAGGAGTGATGTCATTGTGAGATGAGTCTGCTGCCTCCTTCAGTGATGTTCACTCTACAGTAAATACTGAGAATAACAGAAATAAGGAAGAGGAAACTAAATGTGCAGAGTGAATAAGCAACTTTTGAAACAAAGTTTCAAAACAAAGTTTCTTGAAATAAAGCAAGAGTGTTTCATAACACTGACCATAACAGAAGGATGGGAGGACCAAGCAAACCTTTACTATGAGTATTTCATCTCACAATTGTATCATTACTACGGTCTTCTAAAAGAACAGTTTTATTTGTTAGTGGATGATTGATAAATATTGCATTTACCAATAATATTTATTGTATTGGTATATATTGTACAGTACTGAATATCTGTATGGAAGGGGCAAGTTTTGAAGAAGCCTGAGTACTTTCAGCTTTTCTGTGTGTACATTTCATTGCGTTCCATCCTTCCACTGTTCCACTCACTGGATAAAAATGTTCAGCTTACATCAAAATCAACAAGTCCTTAAAAGTATGATTTCCCCTCCTTTCACTGGGGAAGAGTCATCTTTCATAGATAGAGTCTTTTGTTCAATCAGACCCTTATAACACAGAAAAATAAAATGGAGCTCTCTTGCTGAAAAGTGTTCTGTCTAGAAAATTCCTTGCTAGGGAATTATCAGTGAGAAAAGCTCAGAAAACTGTAGCTTGTTTAATGTGACAGGGTCATTGTTGCTGTTTGATAATAATATATGAAGTCAGAATCAGATTTTAACAGTCGTATTTAAGTTGTATATATTCTTTGCTGTTTTAGTAGATGCACATTGTCACATTTGATTTTATTGTGATAAGCAGCAATAATCAGAATTGTGGAAGTGACACTTTATCATAAACTTTTTAATGTTACGTATAAATTGGCTTTAACCTCATTATTTTTATTTTTAATTTTATATTTAGTATAATTTGGAAAATGCATCTCAGACATTTGATGATCTTCCAGCAAGATTTGGTTATAGACTTCCAGCTGAAGGCTTAAAGGTAAGAAAACAGTAATGTCATAAAGGCACAAGGTATCGAATAAGGATATTTCTGTTGTTCTTTCATTAAAGAATCGAAACATCATAAAAACCATGAGTGGTTGTTTGTAAAGAGTAAAAGCTGTTCACAAGGTATGAGAGAGGCCTGGGATTCAGTCCCAGTGCACACACACCAAGAAAGGCATGAGGAAGAAAGTGAAGCTCTCTTGTGGTTGTAGTAGTCAGCACTACTGTTACCATTTAGTATATAATATCTCAGATCTGTTTTCTAGGATATTTTCTGTGTATATGTATATGTAGATGTATGTGTGTGTTCATGTATTTATGTCAATGCTTGCACAATATTATCCAACACCACTAGAAACTTGCTACTTTATAACCTGCCTTCTTCCCTTAATTTGTATGCCGAGGTCATTTTTTTTTTATTCTGACAAGTAAAGGTATTCAATTATATTATTTATTATTATTATTATTGTTATTATTATTATTATTATTAATGGCTTAATGGTTTTATCATTAAATACAGTGGATTTGAACTTTGTTTTGTTTAATTTTTCATAGTAGATATTTGGGTTATCCATTTGTTACTGACAACGAATGTTTTCATCCTTGTGTATTCATTCACTAATTTCTATAGTGTACATTTTAAAATATAGAATTGCTTCATTTATGGCATGCATGTCTAAAAAAATTTTTTTTGTTGTTTTTAGTTGTAGTTGGACACAACACCTTTATTTTATTTATTTATTTTTATGTGGAGCTGAGGATCGAACCCAGCGCCTTGCTGGGCATATTGGCTTCTAGCTTTTTTTTTTAAGATTTTAAATTAAGAAAAGATTCCTGACATTATATAATGATATCTTATTGTAAAAAAAGTATACAAAAGAAATGGAAGAGCCTTCTGTTATGCTTTCCACCTGTGTACACCAGTTGCATTTCCTTGTTGGCAGTAGATTTTATCAGTGACTTATGGACCTTCAGACCTCTCTGAATATGTGATGCTTTTCAGGTATTTTTTGTTCATAATTTTTTGAGCATATAAAGATAAAAAAATGGTTATCCTTTGTGTATATAAAAGCTTTCTTAATTCTTGTAATAGAATCCATTTTAGCTAGTTTTATCCAGAAAATGATTTGTAAAGGGTAATGATGTTTAGAGAATCACAGCCTGGAAAACAGTTTCCAGATAGTTTCAGGAATACGCTGACAACCACCTTGTAGAACTGGCTTCACAAAGGATCCTGTAGCCACTGGACTATCCTACCACCTTTTCTCTCATCAGAAAACTTCTTCAGTTTTATCCCCAAACATTATGCCTCTGCTGTCATTAAGCTAATCAAAAAAATAACCTTTGCCTGACTGTTTTCTCCAATGATCACTTCCAAACGTAATACCTGGATTTTTCTAATTGACAAACTCTAGGCCATGTAATTACTAGCCACATACTTTGGAGAAATACCTACCTTTGGGGAAGGCTGGGAAATATGGTATTCTTTTTTGGTTTGTTTATGTTTGTTTATACTACTTAGGGAAGGTGAGAATCAGGGTGTCAGAAGAGGGGTTCAGAATATTTGGGGAACCATTAATGACAGACATTTATTATAATAGCTACTCTGCAATCCTGCCTGTGTCCTAAGCAGGTGATGGGAATGAGGTTTCCCCTGGTGGAATGGGCTGGCTGTGAAATAAAAGCTAAGAAAAATAGGTGGAGGAAGAATCCACAGGACACAGAAAATAATTTCAAAAAGCGGGGGCAAGGACGGGCAAGCTAATCATATGGGATTGAGCTTATATACTAAAAAGACAAAATGGAGCCTGTGCTTACTTTATTTCTATGGGGGAACATCAAAGGCATTCCTTAGAATGTTCTTCACCAAACAAGGTTGAAGGTCAACTGTCCAGTTCCCAATGGGTTATGCTCTTCTCCGGAGTTAATTTGAGGGATCTTCCTAGTAGAGTGGAGGTAAAGGTCATGAGCCTTGGGCAATATATGGCATGGAAGAGCCACAGATAGTTCTCAAGGTTAAACCTAAAATCTTCCTGGCTGCCATACTGAGAGAAGACACTCAAGTAATTCATGGACGGCTTCACTGCACTGCAATTTAATCCCTGTACCTCTTAGCTTATCAAGCAGCACCTGTAAATCTGGCAAGTTCCTGTTAAGCACTGCATGGTATTCTATCTTATGAATGATTGTGGTTTATTAGTCGTTTCCTATTAACAGATACGTTGGTTCCTTGTCTGAAGTCCAGTTATTTCTGTAGAATAGATGTCTGAAAGAAGAATGGGCACATACATTTAAAGTTTTCATAGATACTATCAAACTACTTTTCTAAAGGCTGTTCTGATTCTTTTCAATTAACAGTGTCGAGAACACCCATCTCTGTACTCTTGCCATCACTGATAATTATCGGTGTCTTGACTTTTGCCAATCTGATGGGCAAAAAGTATAATCTTGTCTCAATTTGCATTTCTCTGATTACTAACTATGTGAGCTGGCAGCCTTTCTTTCGGACTGTCCTTCTCACTGAAAAGCCTTTTTGCTTAGTGAATTTGTTTTAAAAGAGTTTCATTAATTTTTGATAACCATAGTCTTCTTGGTGCTCCTCTATTTCTGTGTTACTGTCAAGTCAGTTTACATTTCAGAAATAGTTTGAAATGTAAACAAATAATTTTGTTTATTTATTGCCTAAGAAAAAAAGAACATTAAGTATCTGATTTTTTGCACTGTGACAATGTAGGGTAAACCCAGAAGTGAAATATGGGAACAGTAAAGAGAGGATGTTCAAATAAATCATTGAATTCTTTTTTAAAAAATATTTATTTTTTTTTGTTGGACACAATATCTTTATTTAATTTTTTATTTTTATGTGATGCTGAGGATTGAACCCAGGGTGAGCACTCTACTTCTGAGCCTTAACCCCAGCCCAAATCATTGAATTCTTATGGAAAGCGTCTGTGGTTGCACGATTGGCTTTGCCATTGCTCAGAATCAGGATGAAAAACACCAACCTACTCATTGTTTACAAGGAGCACTTGATGATACCAAAGTGGGGTGGCTCACTATGGCATAATGTCTGTAAAACCAATAAGTTAAAAATATAACCAAGTTAATTTAAAAATGCATTGTGGTTATTAGGAGACAGGTGAGTCCCCAGGTAGGGAGCTGAGCACTGGGACCAAGGGCTAAAGCAGAGAGACTAAAAAAATGCAGACCACCAGGGCACTGCTCATTTCTCTGGCTCTGATCCACTTTAGTACCAGGGGTTTGATCAGGCCTGTGTCTGCCTCCTTCCTGAGTAGACTAGAGAACTCATCTAAACAGCCTTCCTACAGCAGCAGCTCTCCACTCCAGGTGGCCAGACGGGAGTTCCAGACCAGTGTTGTCTCCCGGGACATTGACACAGCAGCCAAGTTCATTGGTGCCGGGGCTGCCACAGTTGGTGTAGCCAGATCAGGGGCTGGCATTGGAACTGTGTTTGGCAGTTTGATCATTGGCTATGCCAGGAACCCGTCTCTCAAGCAACAGCTCTTCTCCTATGCCATTCTGGCTTTGCCCTGTCTGAGGCCATGGGGCTCTTCTGTTTGATGGTCACCTTCCTCATCCTCTTTGCCATGTGAGGCTCTGTGGGATCACCCACACGTCCCTGCTGCTTCACCTCCACTGGTGCTGGAGTGTGCTGAGCTGTACCATTAAACCACATTTCTCTCTAAAAAAAAAAAAGAGAGAGAGAGAGAGAGACAGGTTAGGAATACCTTTTAAACTTTTCCCAGAGAGTTTAGATGGGGTAATTACTGTTGGTCTTAGTTTTCCATGTTCTGTAGGTCTTTATGTCACTGGATTCCATCAGAATAATCTGGAAGACATAAGCATTGGTCATATAGCTCATATCAGTTGATTTCTGTGTTTGCAGTTCATTCATATATGTTCCAACATTAAGCTAATAATATTCAGAGGCCCTCTCTGTCTTCCCCTGTATTTTCTCTTTTTTCTACCCTGTATTTTTTTTAAAAAATGATGCAAGAGAATCAGAAAGCCAAGGACATTTTTAGCTAATTTGAGCTTCAATGCAAAAATGTGAATCTTTTCATGGATTAAGATATGCCATGCCAGTGTTATAGACCTTTAGTTTAAAAAATATTTTATATTTTTAGTTAGGAAAGGGCTGTTTTCAGTTTTATATTTTAGTTTCTTATATAAAAATATCTTTTCTAGATAACTTTTTATTAGACTTTGCAACGTATGTCATTAATGAAATCAATCAGTTTATAATTTATTTGGACAGCTTATTCTGAGCTATAAAAGAGTTATTTTTGGAAAATACTAGTTCTTTTTCTTGGTAAAATAATATTTTAAATATATTAAACAGTGTCATTTACTAGTATAAGTATAAAATTTTAATTTCCCCCTAACTACCCTCAATTCTTAGTTCTCTCTCTAGTAGTCGGATTAGTAAGAAGGCAGTTATTAGTTTTATTCTTACCCTTTACCTTCTAGATTTTTAGAATTCTATTTTTTAGTAGGCTAGATTAGAATTTTTAAAAAGCAAGTGAATCGGATTCTTAACTAGTTTATAATATTGCTGGTCTATTTGGTTAAGGCCCATATGAGGACATGACTGCTACTCTTTAAAAAATTGTCAGAAATCTATGTTTTCTATTTCCAGGCTGAAGTGCTTTAATCCATGTGAATATAAAGGAGCTGCAGGGAGGCAGCAGGTTTTAGTATATGGATAAAAATAAGTCTCTGGGAGAATCTTACGTTTTTGAGAATTCTGTTTTGGAGGCTCGTACTTTCTTGTATTAGAGCCGTGTTTGAAAACCCTTCATCTTCATTCTCTTCTCCAATTCCTTTTGCCAGGGACTTAACATCTTACAAATCACAGCAGGTGTACATAGAACTGTGTCAGCATCCTATGTAGACACTCCTAGGTGCTGTTCCAGCTCCCCCTCTCATTGGGCCAAATTAGTCTGGCCCAGGGCTTCTACCAGCCTCCGAAACCCTTTGGGCCTGTGTGAAGCCTTTCACAGTGTAGGAACAAACCGCTCCTGAGCTGGTGTTTCTGAAGACAGTAGCTCTCTTTCAGAACAGCAGCTGGAACTGTGGAGCATTTCTATTTCTGTGATTTTTTTTTTTTTTTTTTTTTTTGCAGCCACCTGTGGTTGTGCCTCAGATCAAAAGGGCATCAGTATTTTCCCCAAAGTCTCAGAAATGAGAAGAGAGCTGACGAAGAGAAATTGCATGGTGTGGTCCCCTTTCTGAGACCCTCACAGGGAGCTCATCGCCAAGAGTCCCCATCAAACATTCTAGGAGGTTCGGAGTTTGGGGTTGTGGCTTACCCCTTCCTTCCTTCATTGAAGGAAACTGAATTCAAGTATTGCTGTTTTGCTATGTCCTTGCCAAGACTTGGTGTTGTCAGAAGTGACTTTTTGCTAACATGGTGGATGTGAGATGGCAGCTTGTTCTGACTTGGTATTTCCTGGATTACAGTGAGATGAAGCATCTTTCTATAGGATTATTGATCAAGCAGTTTCTTCTTGTTCAAATTCTTCTTTTTAACTTACTTTTGGATTGGCTTGTCAGTTGTTAAAATACTGATTTATAGAAATCCAGACTAGAGCCCTTTGGTCCTTTGGCTGCAAGTTTCAGGAGTTTTCCACTCTGTGCTTAGATTGCCTTTTGTTATGCCCAAACTGGAATTTTGATGCAGACACCTTTTTGATAGTCTTCATTTTCTGTGTTTTTAATAATCCTTCTACACCCTGAGGTCTTAAAGTATTTTCTCTGTTTCCTTGAAAAATCAAGAAGAAAAATTCCCTTGCTCTCACCCTGTTCCATGTTCACGAGATCTCTAAACACAGCTGCTGCATTTTTTTTTTTTTGGAGTTAGTCCTATACTGTTTTCCGTGGGGGCTACACCATTTTACCTTCCCACCAACAATATTCATGGGTTCCTATTTCTTTATATCCTTGCTAACATTTGTTATTTTTCTCTGTTTTTTAATGCATCCATCTTAATGGGTATAGAGTGGTATCTCATGGTGGTTTTGATTTGTATTTCCCAGATGATTCGTGATGTTGAGTACCTTTTCATGTGCTTTTTGGCCATTTGTATGTCTTTGGAGAAATATCTGTTCAAGTCCTATGTTCACTTTTTAATCAGGCTTTTTGTTGTTGATTTATAGGAGTTCTTTCCATATTAAGAGTAGCAATCCCTTATCAAAGATGTGATTGCAAATTATTACTCCTAGTCTGTGGGTTTCCTTTTTACTCTGTTAAAGTGTCCTTTAGTTCTCTAAATCTTTTGATTTTCATGAAGTCCATCTTCTCTATTTTTTTCTTTTGTTGTTTTTGTTGCTTATAATTTTATTATAATTACCAAGAAATCATTGTCAAACTCAATGTCATGAAGGTTTCCTTATATTTTATGATTAAATGTTTCTTTATTTGCTGTATGCCCTAGGACAACTTTCAGAGACCATAAATGGTTATTTTTAAAACAATTTTGACCAGTTATGGCAAAAATTAGTTATGGAAGTTGTGAAAGTAGAATATTTCTTCATGATTTTTAAATCATTAATTAAAAGCTCACTCTGGCCAAATTATAACATCTTACATGGTTTTTTAAATTGACCTATCAAATATTGAGACATGTTATAGAGAACCCTATGCATTGTACCTGAGTTTCATATAAGCATGTAGGCTCTTGGATCGCATGGTGGTATCTGGCTAGGTGTACCTGCTGCCCAAGCATCATGAAGCTGTAGCATAAATTTCTCTTCTTTCCAGTAATCTGCATGTCATGGTTTACCTAATGATAAAAATGCTTCAAATGAATGGGCTCCCCTAATCCTTTGAAACAAGATATTCTTCTATAAACCTCCGCTGTTGTAATGATACTGCTTCAATAAAAAGGAGATTTTTGGTTTTGCTGTCTTTATATCTGATTCATCTCATAAAAATTGAATTTCAACTGTATCAAACACTGGAAGGATGTGCATTCAAAATGATCACCAACTTGGGTCATTTTCTCATGTTCCTATTAGAACAATTTTACCAATATTCAATATTTACAAATTAGTAAGTTGGTGAATTGGGAGCCAGGAAGGGAAAGGTTACCCTGGGGGTTCTCACAAAAGCGGGTTCTTTATGTTGCATATGCCTGCTGCTGTTGGCCCTCGGTACCAGTGGGCACAGCATTTATGGTTTCAAGGAACTGCGGGTCAAAACCATTTTTTAAAAATTGCATCTATATTGAACATGCATGTACTTTTTTCTTGTTGTTATTCCCTAAACGATACAAATGACAACTATTTACAGAGCAAGCACATTGTCTTAGATGCTACAAGACATTTAGGGATGGTTTAAAGTACTAGGAAGCCATGTGGGTTCTGTGCAAATACCATGCCATTTATATAAGAAACTGGACCATCTGTAGATTTTAGTACCTTTAGGAGGTCCTGGAACCAACTCCCCATGATCCAAAGGGATGACTGGACAGTGTCTGGCATGAATCGCAGATTTTTTGAGAACATGATCTCTGTCTTTACCTCACGCCATTAGGCTGTGCGTCCTGCACTGTCTGTCTTATAGTAGAAGATCAATAAATACTTTAATAAGTGAATATTTAAGTAAAAAGAGGAAATAAAACTGAAATTAATCCAAACAGGTTGACCTATTTGGAGTAAGTTATGAAGTAGGAAATGACCCAAATCTCTAAATATATATTTGTTATCTAATGTATTCATTAATGTTATTTGATAAGCATGAAAATCACATTTAGGGCCTGAGAGCTTGGCCTCTGCTGTGTTTAGTCTCTGTTATGTTGTCTGTTTTCTGCTGGACTTCACGGCCTCTGTGGAGAAAGTTGAGGATAAAACCCCAAATCTTCAGGTTGTATTTTGTTTTCTGACAGTAAGAGGTAGGTTGGAGATAAAGCAGCTTCCTTTGTTCTCCTTGCTCATCTTATTTTATGTCTTGTGAGAGCCGAGCAGGTCAGCAGCCTTGAGCAGCAGGGCTGCCAGGAGTGAGGTGGCATGCAGGGAGAGAAACTGAGCGGCTCAGGACTGCGGGTCACTGCTTCACTCAATGCACAGCTTTCATCCGACTGCTCTTTTCTCTGCTAAGTTGAACTTTTGCAACAGACATGTTACTTGTGGTCTTTGGCATACAGTAGATTCTAAGAGAATTTTCTTTGTCATGAAATCTGAAAATGAATCCTTTATAAAACAAGGAATTTTTTCCTAAAGTTAATAAATAATTATAGTACTATCTGTTGATTGGGTAAAAGTTTTGAAATAAAGTAAAAATTATATTGACTGGTTCTGTACATATAAAACTGTCTTTAATTTTATGCTACAAATTCCCACTGGTACTTTGCAATTTATTTTAAGTGGCTTGAACTTTTTTCTTTTCCAAATGGGTTTGTTTAGCCCAGATATCATCTTCATCATTGGCTTCATGTAGCAACTAATATTAAAGGAAAATCTTCAGTCTCACCGATCTCACTTCATTTTCTTTTTGTATTTAAGTTAAATTTGAAAGACAAGTTTTGGACAAGAGGAACATCATTCTGTTTTGCTCAGGGTTTGACAGCATCACCATTCACCAGCTGAGTGTTCTTGGGAGAGTTATCATCTCAGAGCCTAAACTTCTTTTCTAAAGTCAGGCTGGAGGTGTTTGCTGAGCCTGAGTTG